CACAGGTGTAGTCTTATCATACTATGTATTTTACTAATGATTATACAGAATTTTGGCTAATAAGCAGATATGTGGCTAAATAATAACATTAGGTTGGAAGGTCTTGCTTTATGGTGAACTTGCCACTGGCTGCTGCAAGAGAGGAGCCCCAAAGAGAAGATACAAGGTCTCCCTGACACAACATCTCAGCCTTGGCCATACTGATCACCATAACTGGTCTACTCTGGTCCCCAGTCGGGAGGTCTGGAGACACACCATCTGTAACGCTGCTGATGCCTTTGAGAAAGCACGCAGGATCACCCTTGAGGAGAAAAGACAACGCAGAAAGAATTGTGCCTTGCAGAATATACCACCTGGGGAGTCTTTCTGCTGTGCCTTTTGCAACCGGACATGCCTGTCTCGTATTGGCCTTTTTAGCCACCAATGCACTTGCAACAAACGTGGGTAGAGCCCTTCCCAAATCTTCATTAGCGAAGCCTAGCCATGATGATGATGAGGTTGGAAGGTTCATCTAGAGGTTGATTCTGGCTCAGGGCCTGTTTTCAGGCCTTAGCACTTCACCAACCTAGTGATGCAGTGGCAAATGATACAACAGTTACAGAACCTCACTGTCTTTTGGTCACTTTCCCCTCCCTTTCTGATCACTTTTGAATCCAGCAGCAAATTTTATCCAGCTATGGCAGGCCAATTGGGCCTCAAAGATATGTTCTTATAGTTTCCTTGAAAAGAAGCAAAAGTTTTAGCAGAGAAAAATGATCTCTCAACCCTTAGGAAGAAAAAGGCTTAAACATGAGTTCAGTATTTATCAGAAAGGGAATCAACATGAGGTACCAACCTCAGTGGACAAAGTTGCAGAAAAACAGGTTTTGCTAATTCAGTTATTCAGGAAACCATTCGTTTAAAGCAGAAACTCCATGTTTCTGCGAACAGGGAAAATAGATCTTCCCCAGTCTGCTTCTCCTAACTGCATTTAAGTGGAGTACACTACAGTATTCTACATCTGACCTCAGACAGCTAGTTTCATCTTCTGTCACGATTAATAATAGCAGTGGCAGGGTGTGGAAATACCACAGGTAAATATTCAGGTTAAACACACTAAACAAACCCCTCTCACCCAGGAAGACCATTTGCAGAAGAGATGTGTTTTGGGGAGCACCATGTGAAGGAAAGCCAGGAACACCACCATCATCATCCCACAGCACTGCAGCACATCACACTATTCATACTCCCCACAATGCTCCAGCAACCTCAGAGGACACACAAACCTGGATGAGGGTGACAGAACCATCCTTTTCGCCATATAATAAAAAAAGGAGACCATGGGGACAGTACTACAAGCTCCCTTCTCAACATGAAGATGCAAACAGGCAGTGCCAGAGAGGCAGGCAGCCCAGAGGGCACAGGGGCCTCCCTCCCTTGTCCCAAAAGCTATGGGCCCCAGAAGTCATGAGGTCAGTCTTATAAATTAGATGTGCCTTTTTTTCCCTCCCTCTTTAAAAAAAAATAATAATTAGAGGTCTGGATATAAAATTAAAATCTGATACTCTAACTTGTGGCACATCTCACTGTATTTACTACATGATATGATTTCTAAGTGCAGAAGAGTATTAAGGACATCACTCAAGATTTAACAGATCTACAAAAATAGCTTCATGAGCTTTAATAGCTACCAGTTCTAATTGAAAAATCCATCTTCTTCAACAACCCAGCTACAATATACTGTCCCCCCAAAATGAATGTTAACAATCTCAATTACATTTATTTAACTCTGGAAAAAACATATTCATTGTAATAAAGATTTTCTGCAACAGCTGCTTTCTTTAACCATGATCTCAACTTCATTCTCCTGAGAATAACTACTGAAGAAAAGCCAAATGTAAAATCCTGTTTCCTGTCAATTGAAGCAGATGTTTTTATGTAATCAAAAGCATTGTGGAGGCCCAAGCCAAACTGTATTCTCACTGCATTCTCAAAATAGGTCTACCAATGAAACAGTAGCAAAAGAAACATTAAGTAAGCTTATTACAGCTCAGAAACCTAAAAATCACAACTGTCTTAAAACAAGGTTGTACATTGCCCAATAAAAAACAACTGCAGAAATTAAAGTTTATAAATGGCCAAGTTCCTTCAAAGAAAGTTCCCAGGGTCTATTTGGCAATGATATTTTTAATTTGGCAAGATTATTTTAAATAATTTTTGACTGCAAAATCAGCATAACCAAAGTACACTGAAGTCTGGCAGCTTGCTGCTATATCCTTTAACAACAGGAATCTGGGCTGCAAAACCTGAATGCATTTATCCTGACAGGCACCTTCAACTAGATAGTTACCACAGTTTGACCCAAAACTAAAATACTAACCACTCACTGTCTTCTCTTCATCAGGAAAATTTGCTGGTATACGAATGGAGCAAAAACACATAGCCAAGTCATGTTAACTCACAACAAAACTCTGATATCAGCTACAGACATCCACCTACGATAACTGTACTTAAACAGCTCAGAAAGACAATGCCAAAGTTCTCAGGCAGTTCTAGAAAAGCAGATCCACAGAAAGAGAGAGGCATACACAAGGTGTATAAAGGGCAAAAATACTTCCCACGAAAGATCCTCACACTACAGGATATCAAACCCATTAAACTAGTATATTTTAGAAAAAAAGCAGGGACCCAACATCAGTGTTGTTTTTCAGTACTTGTATAAAGTTCTGTCTTTTCTCAAGCAATTCTCCTCTGTTTCTAGAGACAGAATTAACATCATCTTTAGGGGAACACTGAGGGAGAGGCCAAATTCCTTCTTGATTTTCCAGCTTCATTAACAGTACCCACAAAACACTTGAGAGAGCTTGGTTGAGACAGAAAGAAGAACTTCTATTCCTTTTGGTTTTCTTGTGTATTAATCATGTTAAACAAACAGTCCCTCATCAAGGTTGGAATAAATCAAGTAACAAAAGCAAAGACCGGTTTTCATTTTTAAAATGTAATACTGCATGCTATTGAAACATAGTTTATGCCGTTTATCACCTTAGCCTATAAAAAGGTTCTATACACTATGTCTGCTGGTGAAACTCCAGTAATATGCCATATTTACCACAGGTAAGTCTACATCAATAGTAAGTGCTTATTTTTTTTAGAATACATCTTCCCAGGGATTTTTGGCATTATGACTGCATCCACTTCAGGGCTTTTGCCTCGTCTGCAACAACATTAAGGAGTTCAGTTTATTTACAGGCTCCAAAGTGACAAGTCAGTGCCAATAAAACACATTACTACCAGAGATTACTGTGTGGGGTAGGGACAGAGGCTTTAAGAATGTCACAGAGGTCGGGCACAGTAAAGCTATGCCATTCCCCACTGAGCATGACAACAGTTTCATCCTCTTGGTATTAAATTACTTCTCCAGGAGCTACATCAAAAAAAGCAATGAAAACGCAACAGCCGTGAACCACTGCAGTAACATTACCTACTAACAGCACTTCATTGAGCTGCTCCACAACTTGTTTCACATGCTGCCAAAATGGACGTGAAACAGCAGGCAGGGAGGCCCCTGCTTCAAGAGGAATATTAGCAAGTAAAGTTACTACTCTCCCCCACAACCACCCAGTGCTGTTTGGAGAGGCATGGGGCAGGTCCCAGAGAACATCCAATTGAAAACAAGCTAAGTACTCCTACCATCCCGCTGAAGATTGAAAGAACCATAGACAGATGACCAAATCTAGCTTGGGATTTCAACCTTCAGGAAAGATATAAGATTTTTTTTTCCAGGTGGTTCATACAGAACCAAGAGAATAATCAGATGCTGAAGGTGGGCAGGGTGAGCAAAGCAATAGCAATATCAATAGAATTAGGTGTTTAAATACTTAAAACAACAGCAATAAGTTCACTGGTTAGTCTGTTGCAGACAGGAAAAGTGATAATGAGTTTCTATTGAAGAAAAGGAAATTTGGGAAAATGAAGCACAAATAAAGTACCTGGAGAAGATGTTTAACATCACACCAGAGAGACACTGTTAGAAACAGGAGTCCTTCCCTTGAGTGCAACCAAGGATGAGATGTGGAAAGGGCCTCACAATCACCCATCTCCTCCAAGCCATGGTCCTTTGTCCATGGAACTAATTTAAGCAGGAAAACAGGTGCACTGTGGTAACATATGGAGCACTGAACCCCCACCCCACGGATGCTGACCAGTGTAGGTCCTGCCCTGCCCTCCATCACCACTTGCTGTCATCTCTCACTTCCTCTGCCAGCACCTGAACATGCCGAATCTTTTCACAAGCCGAATTTAAAGGAGTTTGTGAAAGGGTTTGAGGACTGCCAGGAAGCCTGGGGCTAGGAGAGAAGTTAAGACCATTCCAATCCTTATATCATGGGGTTTCATATCCCCACCACGTGGAACCAGTGACAATTACCCAACCGACTCTCGTAGGTCTAAGCGATCTGTCGCCCCTTTAGGAATTCCTCCTTGCCGCGCAGGGCTTTGGGAAGGTCCCTTTCCATGTCGGCGCCTCCACCCGCATGCCGCTGCCCTGGTGCGGACGCCGGCGAGCCCAGTGGCTCCCGGCTGCCCGCCCACACCTCGGGGGGATGTGCTGCGTCCAGCTTCCCTTCCGAAATACGAGGCGAATTCACCCAGGGAAACAGATGAAACGCCACTTGGAGCACTTGGCGAGCCTGGACGGGCACCCGCGCTCGCAAGCCAGGGCTGCTGTTCCCCTCCCGCGCCAATGGCCCCCGGCAGCCCTGCTCGCAGGGTGGCTGCGGGGACCGCCGAGAGCCGCGGCCCGGGGGCAGCGCAGGGACGGACTCCCAGCCCTTCCCCGCCCCGACTCTCTGGGTGAGCGGCCAGCCCTCGGGCCCCGCCGGGCGCTGACCCGGGTCCTCCGGCCGCGCCAGGGTAGCGGAACCCGCGGGCGGGCCCCCAGCGCTGTTCCCCGCGGGATGCCTGCCCTCGCTGAGCCCCCCGCCCCGCACACCTGCCGGGCTCCCCGCGCCCCCAGCCCCTACCTGGCCGGCGCAGCAGCGGGCGGACATGCTGGCGGTGCGGGGTGACCCAGCTCCCTCGCTGCTCCCGCATGCGGAAGGGGCACGGCTGGGATGTCCTGTCCTGGGCTGGGCAGCCGAGCACGGGGAGCCGCAGGCGAGGCGGCACCGCCTCTGCCCGGCCCGGCACCGCCTCTGCCCGGCCCGGCTCCGCCGCGCGGCTTCCGCTGTCGTCAGCCCGTGTGTGAGCTCCGCTGCCCCGCTCCCCGGGCCGGCAGGGGTGGTGGCAGCGGCGACATGTGAGGTGGGTACCTGCACGGCCACCCTCGGCAGGCTGCCCGGCTCCCAACGACACTGCCGGGATCACCTGCCTGCTCATATAACACCTGGTTCTGGGTAGCTGGAATTTAATAAATTCAGTGAACGAGGCATTTGATTATGAGGATCTTAAAAGACCAAGCATCAAATTGAAGTTTAACGCCGTGGTGCACTAACCCCGGATTCGAACTGCTGTGCCGCATCCCACTGCCCGCGCCTGCGTGGAAAAGCCATGTTTCCTCAGTGGACAGCTGGAAGGCCGTGCTTTCTTAACAGGAGCCGAGACCTTTCCCAGTGCTTCAGAAACACCTTTTCCAGCATCAGTCGCCTCTAATCATGTGCAGTACTAAGCAGGAGCTTAGGATTTCCCAACGTCCAATGTGACAATAGGAATTTACAAAGCCAAATTCCGATAGGAATTACTATTGCAAAGCCACCAATGAAACAAGGAAGGTCTCCGTGGAAAGACTCCCTCACCTTGTCCACTTTGTGTCCTCTGTGTGTCTAATGCATTCTAAAAGATAACTATTTTAAACTTTGTTTCTAGTTTTAACTGCCCCTACTTAAGGAATTCAGTGGAAGTAAAAGCTATTAACCTGCATATGAGTACATATATATTGATAATTAGCAACACCTACCAAGGAAACGGAGGGATTGCAGGATGTAAATCCCCTTCCTCTTTCCTCATGTGTGTAAAGGTGATGCCCTACCAAGTGGATCATATGATGAGTCAGCATTTCACAATTTGGTATGATACTGGGGACCGAAGAGGGGTACAGTTAATAAAAAACAGACAATGTGCTTTGTTTTTAATGGTGCTCTAACAGCTGCATATACTCCGTTAGAGACAGGGTATTTACCACTCTTATCAGATTAATTCTGTCAACCAGATGGTTACTAAGCTGCAAAGGACACCAGTTTGCAGGTATCCAAGAAGACCCCAGCACAGTTCAAGCACCGATGTGGCTGATGCTCCTGCTTCGTAGGAATAGCAAAAGCCCCAGCCTCAGGTAAGGACTCCTCAAATCAGGAGTGGGGCAGGACTGCAGAGACAGGCTCAAGAACTGAACAAGACAGGAAAGTAGTATGGCCAGCCAACAGGCAAGGGGAAACCACTTGTGTTTTTAACTTTGAATCACAGTCAGCTTCCTGAAGCATGTTGTTAAGACGTGGGAACACATGGATCACAACACAGTGAGAATTCAGCAGAACTGCAATCATCTTGTATTTCTGGTCCAGACTTCTCATACAATTGCAAGAAGCTGACTAGTCAGGCTTTGCCTAATTTCCACATCACCAAAATCAACTCAAAACATGAAGGAGCATCTGAGGTTTAATTTAAAAATGAAACTGTTTTGCAAAGAGAGACTAGTGCAGGTGACATACAGGCATGGTGCAAGAATATGAGTGGCTGTACCATACGTCAGCATGTCTGTGATAGCAACAAGCTCTCACTGGGTGGGGAATGTCATTAATTCACTGCTTTGTGCAGGTCTGTTAATGCCAGCCAGCACTGCTATCACAAATAAATCTAGCTTCTGCACTAAAGAAAACAGCAGAGCTCTGTAATGGACTTTCCAATCAGTGAGAGCACCTCAGAGCCTTGGGATGTGTGCCTTGGCTCTTTGGATGAAAAATTCGTCACCAGAAAGGCTTGAACTTCCCTGCTGTGTTGCTGGCAAACATTACACAGGCTAATAGCAAAGCAATGTGCAGATGTTACTGCATGAAAAGAACTGTCACTCTAAAACTATTCATGCATTTAGAGTAAGGTTTATCCATCAAACACACATTCTGAAATCAGAGAAGGCTAATCTGATTTACTGACCTGAAATCTTCAACCAGTAATTCCTGCCTTCAAGTGTTCTTTTTGGCAGGAGGCCTCTTCAAAGAGATGCTAATTCTGATTTAGTGCTTTCAAGTGACAGGGAATTCACAGCATCAGTAGGAAAAAGCAAGATGATTTGGCCTTGCTTTGCATAACTCTAACTCTGTAAGTTAGACTTACAGAGGTTTAATAAGTCAGGTAGGATAGGGACATGGAATGTTGCCACAGGAAGTAAGACAGCCAAGGAGCAGCCAGGGATGGAGTTAAAACTCTGGTCTCAATTCAAGTGCCAGGGAGTGAGGAACGAAGGAAAGTGCTCAGTTAGAAGTTGTAACTGTGTGACAGTTCTCCAGAAAACCCCTGGTCAGAAGCTAGTTGTGCCCAGGGAACAAGCCACTTTCCTCACTTGTGTGTGCACAGGCAGGGTAGAGTAGAAAAACTTGAACTCCCAGGAGCATGTCACTTTGAGCCACTTACCTTCAGGCAGCCTCCAAGACATCCAGCCCATTTTCATAAACACCAGTGACCTTCTGTGGCACATCAGCTTTGCTCAGGTCACCAGGACAGGCATTATTACCCTCAGATCCCACCTGCAGTTTTGCTTGCATATGTTGCACCTTTACTAATCCCCAACTCATTTCTACATGGACTGTTGTTACAGAAGCAGAGGTTCTCACAAACTCCTTCTCTGAGAATGCAGTATTACTACCTGTAGTGAGAACTCAAAAGTGGTGATGCAGAAAGCTTTTGGACATAGCACAGAGAAGTCTTAACAGGAATGCTCAAGGACTCTGCTTCCACACAGCATGAACCAGCTCAGTGTGTTTTAGGATAATATTAAGAATTGTGCTGTTTTGTTCACACCTTCTGAAACAAAGCTACAACTCAAAATGATGCTTTCAATATTACATAATTTCAAGATTTTTCAATAATTAAAGGGTTTTGGTTTGTGTCAACTGGCAAAGTGAAGAGCACAAAAAGTCTGCATCCAATGAGAAGGAGAAATGTACCACTTGGCTGTTTTTCAGATGAAACGAAATATGGAAATTTTTTCCAAATGTAAATGCAAGCAGAAAGAAAACAAAACCAGATTGTCACATACTGTGGTGGCCACTTACTTAAAATCAGTTCTTTTTTTATAGTGTAAATTTAGACGTTTTATGCCTGTTAAAATAAAAAAGGCATGAAATTGCTTTACAAGGAAATGTATATTTTGCTTGAGCCTAGCAATTAGACACAAGGTTATGGGAAGGAGAGGAAATATCTGTGCATGTGCATGCATATGCTCTGGAAACCACCACTCAGATTCCCAACTAGACCTCTTACACAGCTAATTACCTAACTTCTGTGATGTTTGCTGTTATGTGTGGAAAAGGTATTCCAGTACAGGGAAGCATCATGCAAAGGTGTCATCAGACAGTAAAAATTACTTATTTATCACCTCTAGTTTTACTTGTGTGTAGCTACAAGACCATATTTGTCATGCAGTCTAGGTAGCTGCAGACCATAATAAACTCATGACTTTCTCAATTTTTTCCCAAGTATGCACCAGCACCTAGATTATGTACCACTTCTCCTCACATCCTCCTGCACAGCCAAGGGTTTCCAGAAGCCTTGACTTTTGGGCATCTTCCAAAAGCCAGTGTATCTAGGAATTATGCCACGAGCAGCTGGCACAGCACAGTACATCCCAGCCCTAGACCTTACAAAAAGCAGGTGGGAATACCCGGGTACTTGTTACTGTTGTGAGAGGATGATCACCCTCACCACTACGCAAAGAGGTGTGGGGAGGGAAACAGAGCAACTGTAACAGCAACATGAGCACCAAAGGATCTGCCAGTGCAAGGCATGAACAACCTGCAGCTATAAATCTCCAAGGCGCACTGATGACACAGATGACAGACTGACATCTCTGTGGGGCCTGACACACTGGCCCTTCCAGAACATCAGGTTGACCACAATGCTAAAGGGTGGTATCTTCTACTGTATCTTTATTAGCATTCTGTAATTAATACAAATATTTTCTAGCTGGTAGTAGTTATTAATTTTCAAAAAAATTATCCATGCATTTAAGTATTCAAGTTTGGTTAGATCCTGGTCAAATGAAACTTATTGGACTTTGAAAAAAAGCATTTCATAGCACTTGAAAAGTTTAGTATTAAAAATTCCACAAGGCTGGTATTTCCAGGCAAATTTGTTTAAAAAAACCTTTTGTTTGAGAACAGAGTTTAATAAACTGCTTGGTAGTTTTTCCACTCCAGTGTTACTTTAGAGTGGATTAAGATCGGCACTGTTTATTAAGGAAATGCGCCAATTAAGCCTTTCTGAGGAGGTTAATTTTTGTGATGAAAGCACGGAAGAGTGGTATTGCACAGCTTTGCACCGAACTCTGTAAGTGCTGCATTTGCACGCTCTTTGTTGACCCTTTTCAGCACAATGTCATGCAGTGCCACTTATGAATGTCATTTTTTCCTGACCTCCCAGCCACTGGATGCAGTATAGCTTTTCCTGCCTAATCAGGATTTCTTTACATGATGTCTCGGGTTTCTCAGATCTTTACCTTAGAAACAAGTGACATAGACATTTAACTTGGGTGACGCTAAGGAAACATTGTGCTGGGAGAAAAGGAGACAGCAGGACTTCCGAGCATATTTACACATTCCTGACACTCAGGTAACCAGCCAGCAGCAGGGATTCTGGTGATGGCTGGGAAGCACTGAGTTTTACTGGAGTTAATGAAGGACATATGGAAGAAGGGAAGCTTGCATGTCCCTGATTTACCAGATAAAGTCAATATTAAGGATCTTATTAAAGAAGCTCTACAAGAATATTAAGTTAAACAGGCTCAACCTGAGCAACAACCCAGTTTTCCACTCCTACAAGGAGCTTCAAGCTTGTAGAATGATGATTCTCAGAGAGACAAGCAAGCACTAGGTTAACATCAGACCATTTTTACCACATCTGACCATCTGCCT